GGGGGGGGGGGGGGGAGGGGAGGAGAGAGGGTTTCAATAAAACACCCCCAAGCTAAAATGAATGCAGACTATTACAGAACTGAGACAGAATGATTCCCAAGTGTTTTAATTTGTGCTTCCACTCCTTGTCTCTCTTGCAGTCATCATTTTGGCAACTGCCAGCAACATCCCCGAGATTTAACAGCATTCGCAGAGCAGGCAGCTGCTGAGATGATTATGTCAAATCAGCACGCTGTCCTCTCTTTTCCATGTGTAATGATTCTCACCCTTGGAGAAGTGGTTTAAAATGATGCATACCCCTTGGGCTCATTGTGAGGCTTCTAACAACAGTAGCTGTAGAGCAGGAGTTTGGGTGGGACTCTGTCACTCACCTTTCTTGCATGCATGCCCTGCAATTAACTTTAAAAATTATTCCACAGAGCCCTGGCTGGTGGCTGCTATGGCTGGTTTGGGCCTGATTCAAAGTCCTTTCAAGAAAATAGAAAATCTTGCAAGAGCTCTGGCTTAAGCTCTCTGAGCGTAGTAGAGAAGCAGAGCTTGTGTCAATTCTTAATTCAAGTTTCTTAAACAACCAGTTGAGAAGAACATATAAATCAAGACTTGCTTGACATTTGTCTCCCTCTCTCTTGTTCAGACCTAATGCCCCCAAAGGCAGAACTGTCACTGACTGCACTGCAACTGGGAGATACTGGGAAGGAAGGGGAAAGTTGCTAAATGTAACCCAGTGATACTGTCACTCTGCAGCTGCTGTCATGCCCTTGAGACAGCACAGAGCGGCACTAAAAACCTTTGCTACGCTCAGAAGTGGGTTGGACTTGTACAAATGTTGCCCTGGGGTTTCATATCACAAGCTGATCTTGCATTCCACACCTGGGCATGCTATGTACACAACAGCTTTCCTTTGCACTGCAATTGCAAAGTCAGTAGTTGATCTGGCTGATACATAAATCAGGTTGTCTGATTCTTTTCACACTGCTGTGGCTGTGCAGCATGTGCCTGTGCTGCTGCTCACCCTTTCTGCTTCACCTCTGCAACATCACAGTTGGATTCAGAAAGAATGCATCTTGGGCACGGGCTCTCTTTCTGAAACTCCAATGTGAACATTCAGTCCAGTAATCCTGCGACGTGATTTATAATAATTAATTCAATTTTCACTGACCGTAAACATTTAACTAATGACACCTATTAAGAATAATCTGTTCTTTATATTCAGAGTTAACAGCAGACCAAAAGCTGAAAAAGCAAGAACTGAAGAAGCAAGCCTTCTTTTGGAGTCTAAAAGCTCTGGCTTAAAATTTAGACTTGCTGTTTAAGCCTGCTTGTATTTCACATGATTTGCAACACAGCCTTGCCCAAAACACTGTCTGGGATCCCACAAGGATTCTGTATGTAGCGTACGGGGCAATGAATACCTACATCTCCAAGGATAAAGACCCCTGCAAAATTTCCTGCTTTCTCTCACTTGCACTGTTTCAACCAGATCTCAGCTCCTATACTGGAAAGCAGTGTGGTATCAAAACCTGGCTTTTGATAATGGCTGTGCATTGGGTTCTCATCAGTGTCACACAGACCAGGGTTTGAGAGCTCTGCAATTGACTGTGATCAATTAAGTCCTTTTTCCTTTTATGCTTCCACTGACAATAGCACTGGCAGCACCACCCACTATTCTGCATCTGGGCTGAGGGAGGGGCTGCATTTCTCTCTCTGGGTTAACAAATTGTGTCCTTGCTGCCGTGGCACAGAGCTGGAGCCAAACCACCTTTCTTTACTCCTACCATTTGGGCTAAGACAGTAATGCTGTAAGCAGAAATCAAAATCCAACTGAGTGGTAGGTTTTGCCTAAATGCTCCTTTACAAATTCCTCCTTTAGTGTACCTCCTAGCAGTGCAGGTGTATGCAGGTCAGAACTAATATTGCATTCATAGCATATCTCTGTAGTTATGACTGGGCACTCATCATATTAGAGGCGTAAACTATTATGCTAGCAGCATTTGAGCGAACACACAATGTAGAGTGACACTACAATAGAAACAGGAGTGCAAAATGGAGATTTGCCTACCTACATGGAACACTGGAGCTTACGGGAGCAGCATAAAGAAGATTCTGACCACAGCACCAGGATTAATATTTCTATTCCTATAAAAAGTGCTATACATCTTCAGGTTCTTGAATATAAAAGGCTTCAGAGCTGTCTCCCACTAGAAGCCAGGTTACTGAGGTGTTAGCAGTAAAAAAGAACACCTTTACCAACTAACACTACTCCTGTTTAATACAGGTAGCCTCTGTTGCTCCAATGTATCACTGAAGTCAGTAAATAAGTAGTAATATAAAGAAGTCTTAAACATCTCAATGGCTACACCAGGCAGAAACTGAGTGGTAGCTGCAATCTGAGTGAGGATACAAGGAAGCGTGGACCACCAATTTGGGTAGAGAAATTTTTTTACCAAGTAGCACAATTGCTCTGTGTGAATATCTGAAGTCATCAGTGCTACCTGCTGGCCAGCTCCCTCATACGCTTTTCTGGTTCCTGCCATATCCTTAGGTTCAGCCAAAGAAGCAGAAGAGTTGCACAAAGGATATCTATCATATCTTTATTTACATATCATGGGAACACACATGCAACATGTCACAGGATTTACTACAATGGAACAGCCTGTCCCTATCTCCTGTTACCAAAAAACTTTTTTTTTTTGGCTCACTAGGAAAACTATCACTTCCCCAGAAAGCTCCTAAAAATAATCATTAAAAATAACAGATTTGGCAGGATAACTAAATGAGTGAGAGCTGCAGACTGGATGTCTTGCCACATCCTTGCAGAAACCAGGTGGTTCTAAGGAAGGAAGGAAGGAAGGAGGAAGGGAGGGGGACTCATTGGTCCCAAAGAAGGCAGGTAGAAAGTGGTAGTATATAACAGCTAGGGAATGAGGGAGAGAGCAAGAGTTCTGTCAGAAGGTCCCTCTCAGCCAGGCAGCCAGCTTCCTGTTGATTCATTTCCAAACGTTGATTCCATCTGGAGGCTACAAGCTTCTTATCCTTTAGGAACCTCTGACCCTTAAGGAGGATCTACCTTTCTTCTCAAGCAATAGTTAAGGGGTAATGTTTAAGCTCAAATCCCCTTTGGCCTGAAGGATCTTGCATATCTTGCCTCTGTTGAGAGGAGGAGATGAAACTGCAGAGCCTTTTCTTGCCTGGACCATGACAACAGTAGTCATGATCAACTCTTACTAACCAGGAGAGGGGACCCAGCTCAATGCAGGAGTGTGCTGAGGGAAGGGAGGGGGAATGCAGTCCTGGTATGGAAAAGGCTGAGGCCACTCTATTTATAATTAACATGAGCTTCAGTCTTGTTGGAACCTGGCACGTTCAGAGCCTTGCAGCTTCAGTCATTTGCTTGACTTCTTCCTCTAAATCCCATTGCTCGGTATAAACAGCGTGACCCCAGCTCCCAACCATCCAGGCAGGAGTCCCACCCTCCTAAACATTAATGAATGATCCCTGCTCTCCGTTGGCTGATTCGGGCTCCACGCAGCGCCCTTTCCTCCGGGTCACTCTTCGGTTCCGGTGGAATTTGGCATAACAGCGTAGCCCTACAGAAAAGACAAACACAAGTGAGCAGGAGGGATGGGGGCTCACTACAGCAGTGATCAAACAATTAGCTCTCAGCCTCAGTTCCTGACAGACCCTGCTGCAGCAGGAACAGTCCCAGGGCTGGGAAGCCTGGGCTATGTCAAATGAGGTGGCAGAGAAAAGCCTCACATGGGCAGGGCATATTGCTTTCTGGGCACTGCTGTTCTCTTTGGCTCACTGCTCTGGTGTGGGATTCATTGGCTCAGGCAGAAGGTTTCACTGGCTTCTTGAAATACCAATGAATTATCCTGATTGTTTCCAGTGATTTTATGGAAGCCCTGCTTGGTTTCCCCCTATTATTTCCCATTACTGTCTAAGTGATCTCTCCATTGGGAAATTACTATAGACTTAATGTGCAGCAGCAATGGCTGGGGAGCTCCCCTTGCTATTTATTTCTCTGAAGCTTCAGGAGGGGAAGGAAGAGACTTTGAAGTGTTATTACTGGGAGGTCTGATCCGAAGCTCACTGCTGATCTCCTTCAGTTTCTTTGTTTTGGATGCTCAAAGTGCAGGGTCTGAAGGAAGCTATCTGATATAGCACTGATGAATACCATGGGGGGAAGAAGGCATTTTATTTGTAAAAAACACAAGTACATATTCTCCCATGGCAGTAGAAGGCAATGGGAGACTCTGGTCAGAGTAACTCATCAGTTCTGTCACTGATAGATTTATCTTTGGGGTCTATTGTCTCACCAGAATGCGTAGCTGGTTGGGCCAGACAGGGTACAGTCTATATGTAAATAATTCTCATGAAAGCCCTGATTTTCAGTAACCCAGGATCTGGTCATTGGTCTTGGCAGGAGCTGATTTGATCATCCTAGAAACTGCAGTTCTTTTTACTTCCAGAGCAGGCAGCAGATAGCAACAGTGCCAGCACCCCCAGAGTGAGGGAGGCTGAGGATTTATAGCTTTTATAATGAGACAGCCCATAAACTGTCCTTGAGTACTTGTACACGGGAGACCCAGCCGATGTCACAGGTCACTGAGCAGCCTTTTGGAGTGCACGCCCCTAGGCTACGTTGAGACCCGCTACCTTGAAGCTGGGTTTCTGCTCCTCATTACCAATCCCCTCAGGGCACTCTGGCCTCCCAGAAGGAGAGCACACAAGATCAGAGCTCTGTTCTTATCTAAGCATCTTGTCTATCTTATCTGGACCCTACATCTCTGGGGATCTTTTTAATGCTACAGAGGATGCACATTTGGCATCAACTTATAAGCTTAAGTATAAAGCAGGGCCGGGGGCAGCCCTCATTAGGCTTGCAGACACAATTTTCTAGGCTAATCTATCAGAGCATCATCTCTGATGAGGACCTTCAAGTGTTATATGACACACCCAAGGTAAAGACTATCATTTAACATTGCAAGCAGGAAAGGAGTCTGTTTAACTGTGTAAAAAGGAGGTGAATGACCTGGTCAAAGTCACTAGGTACCTAACACAGGGCACAAAACTTGGCAACCAGAGTTTTGTTCTGGCAGATAAGACCCAGTGCCTGGAGCTGATCCTGAACATGCTCAGACTAAAAAAGTGCCTTTCAACATTTTCATAATGTAACTGTCTATGGATTCTTCAGAAACAGTTATAACAAAAGTCTGTGTCCTGCCCACCTACTAAATTGCTACAAGTTCAGTTGAAATTAACTCAGGAAAGCCATACAAGGCATAAGGTCATGTAAAAGAAGAACAGTACTCTGTTTTTATAATCTGTGATACTTGAAAGCACTGCTGAAGTGTCAATATATTGTGGCTTCTTCTGTTAGGTTTGTAGTTATCAGGCTTTTTCTTTTCAAGAGGGAGAACAAGATATCCCAGATGGCTCAATGGTCACATTATGAGTCAGTGGCAGGGAAAGGCTAATAGCTGCAGAGCTTGACTACCTACAAACTGCTATTCCAAGTCAAGGCAGCCAACTACGAAGCCAGCTGGAAAGGGGAGAGCAAAGATCTGAACTCACCTTCAGTGCACATACAGTCATCGTAACACTTGTTGTTAAGGCCTCGGTTGTGTGGTTTGCAGAGGTGTTCACGCAAGTCGCAGCAAGAGCCTGCAACATGGGAATGAGGGTCAGCACAGCTTGTTTATCCCCTTCCCTTGTAGGGCTACTGACACCCATGACAGCTCCATGGTACAGACATCATCTGCTTCCACAACATGCCTAGAGAGCCTCGGTCCTTCCCTCTGCATATCACTTTCTATCAGGATTAGAAATCAGGATACTTGTACTAGAATCTGGAATGGATTTCAAACAATCTCATGTTTGGAGAAATGACTCTACCAAGCTGAACCTGACCTGGGAGGCAGTCAAGGTGATGATCACATGGCTCTCCTTCAGCTGTCACGGTTTCATTTCCACTGTTTGGGCTTTTACTGCGGCGTTTTTCTATGGAAAAAAACAGATGGTAATAGAAAATTTCATGCTGGTGTTTTTATTTTGGAGACTATATTGTTCCAGGGCAAGAACAGCCTCAAACTTCAAGAGTATGAACTCTAAACCTTCATAGTCTAATCTCCTCCCTATTTCTCAACCCTCCATCTATCATTTTTTCTCTGCCCTCAAACTATCCATCCAAAATGAGAAACATTCTGAAACTGAGCACAAAACACAATCAGCATTAAACTTTTTCTCTTTTTCCCCACCACTATGATCTCATATCCTTCATCACATCTGTGAACACTAACCATGGGACAAGCCTTACAGAATAAATGACTTTTGGGAAAGAGGACAGGGAGGTTTAGCACCTTTCTTTTTAGCAGATGGCCACATTTCTGGTTTGAGATCCTCGTAATCTGTCCAGTCAAAGAGTGTCATATCTAGGGTGGGCATCACATCCCCATCTTGCCTGAGGCGGGCCTGCAAACCACAAGAAACCAAAGAAACAACGGATTACACTTCTGTAGTAACACTGAAGTCTACAAATTTTCCTGGTGCTTTTAGACCTTAAAAAGGATTTATGAGTTCCCCCTGCCTCTACCCCATCTTGTCCACTGGGAATTCTTGGCATCTCATTTTCAAAAGGGAAGAGCTTTCCCCTGTCGCAGCTGAAGCCAAGAGAGAAGTTTCCACTGTCTCTATGTGAGGACAAAAGGCGAGCAAGGAGCACTAGGACATGATGCCTCTTCAGCCAAGTGCTCCTACTCCCTCTGGTCCTCGAAGCTGAATGAAGATGGCTAGCTAAGGGGCAGGTAGGACAGGAAAGAGAAGCAACTAAAGGAACTGTTTATGAAGAAGAGGTGTTTAAAAATCTCTGTGCTTTTGAGGGAGGGCTTTAGTGTTAAGCAAGCATTTACCTCTAACTGAAAAAAAAAAAACCAACCAACCACCAAACAAAAACTGGACCTTATCTGCAGGAGATTTCTGTCTGCATCAAATGTACAGTGCAGTTACCAGCTGTCTCTTTACCTGTGACCGTGGTGATGTGGCTGGAAGAACAGGAGGCTCTTCTGTGGAAACAGCTAATTCCAGTGCAGTCATGAGAAGCATGGTTGGAGTCAGGCTTGTAGCTTCCTCTGCTTGGAGGTTTTGAAACTGTTCTTCAAAGCTTTCAGGTTTCTTGTACAGGGAGCTTGGCCCAGCATCAGAAGTCTTCCCTGCAGAGGGCAACAGGTACAGTAGCATCAGCTTTCTCATCCCTCTTCTTTCTGTGTGACATAGATTTGAGTCAAAGGAATTCAGATTTCATTCAGCTGCTGGCCAGTGTGCTATCACCCTGAGCTGCTGTTTAGACCAGTGTAAAACAGAGTCATGTGCTATTAAAGTGATAGATCAGGTCCAGAGTATATGCATCTTGAATTTTACACACTTAAGTCATAACAATTGTGCTTTCTTTAAGATATTTCTATCTCCTCCTTAAGAAGCAAAGTATTTCTTCTTCTGGTCTCAATAATACAAAATGTACCTGGTTAAACTGCTGCAAATACCTGTGAACACATTCTCATTTGATTTTAGTAGTGGGTTACTTCAATTTAGCTCAAGTCAGGACCTACCTAACTTGAAATACGAATGTCTTCACAGTCTGATCCCTGCTTTTCCCAAGTATTAATTTAAATACAGATCTTGAGTTAAACCAAAGAAACAAGGCCTGTTGTGTAGTGTGCAAATATTGCTTCAAACCAGCTTTGTTGCATACTCTTCTGTATTGCTTAACATGAGTTGTTTAGTCAGTTTAGCTGGAACTCAGGGATACTGACATTCAACCTGTCAAATCATGTCGATTGACACAAATTTCCTGGCTTTAATAGAACTTAAGATTTACCACACTGAGCATACCATACCACAGAGACATACACCCACAACTTGACCTGCAAAGGAAAGCAGTTCCAGTTAGAAACAAGCAACATAAAGTAATTAGTGCAATTTCACATGTGCAAAATTTATATTCTTGTAGTTCAGCATAAATAAAGAAGAATACAAACTCTGATGAGAAGAAAATAATCTTCCAGTGAAGTAGAGGTTTTGTATTATTTCTAGTTCTGGTCATGTTTTGAAGTCAGTGGAGAGACTGAGCACGGCTTGGACATGTTTGTTCATAAATTGAACCATTTTCTAAAAAAAGCAGAAAAACAAAGCAGGCCACCCCAAAACAACCCCTCAAGTCCTAGGAACTTTCAGATCTCCCCCTGTAAGGCAAACAAGGTCATTTTCACAAAATTGCAACCAGCAGTAAAAACCTCTGGTTCTGGAGTTCCCCTTTTTTCTTGTGCCTCTTTTGTTTGGCAGATTTCTCCCCAGAGCAGGCATACATCCCACACCCTCCACACACCCATGGGGCTCAACCACAGCTGCATCTTCTTGCCCTCACACAAGTGACACTCATTTCAAGTGACCCAACAGCTCCAGCTTCCCTTGGAGCTCAAATACCTCTGTGGTGTTTCAGCCTGTCCCTGCGGCTGTGTCGCCGGTGCTCTCGGTTCTGCTTCTTTCCTCTCTCAGACCCAGGGGACTGGTTCTCCCTCTCAGGATATGGGAACTCAAAACCCAGGAACACCTCCTTATTCTGTTTCAGGGCTGCTGGCTGTCCCTCTGCCACCAGCTCTTCCACAGCTGGAGCTCCGCTACCCATTCTGAGGGCCTCTTCCGCAGCCGGCCGCCCTCTAGAAGGCATGGCATGGACCCTCTCCTTCTTGGCCAAGCCATGTTTGTGGTGGTGCCCACTTCTGGGCTGCTGCTGCAGCCACATCTCTTGGTTTTGAAGGTGGTTGTTGTTCTCAGGGACATTTTTGAGCTTTGTGCCAGGGTCCAGGGAGACAGCAAGGCTGATGTCTGAAAGAACCAGCACACACAGGAAAAGAGAGAAAGTGGAAGAAGTTGCCATAATCCTGGGTGCTCTGCCTCACCTGCCATTAAAAAATAAGAAATAAAAATAAGCAACCAAGCAAGATTCAGACCTAGGTCACTTAGATGAAAACAGTTAGGGTGGCCAGAGCGGGAAGTGATTTTATTTTCCCTCCTTGGTTACCTCCTCCTCTCCCAGCCCTGGTTACAGCAGCTGAGACACACGTGCAGGGCCTGCAGGGCTGAGAGGTCCCAGTTTCATGTGCAAATGAGGGCCATCAATCAGTAGGACATTTCCCTTTGATTCCTGACGAGCCCCCCTACCCTCCCATTCACAGCTTACCATCTGAGGGGCTGGGGAGGCCGGCTCCTGCAGGCCACCGCTCCGGAGCCGCCTACACAGCACCAGCTGTCTGGCCAGGGCTGTTGCCTGCCAGGTTGGCATCCTGGGCCTAGCTGGCACTGGCCCCTCATCACAGCTGGTTTCCTTGCAATGAAGATGTCAAGATGAACAGAACTGGAGGCAGATGGCAGCCTCGTAGGACCAGCAACAGCCCTGAGCAGCTCAAGACAGAGAGACGTGCATACAGCTTCAGGGTGGCTGAAATTGGTCAAGGGAAGAAAAAGCACTGGAAATTTTGTCCCAATACCTCACAGCATGGCAGGGAAACAAATCAGCTGTCAGCAGAGCAAGGGATGCTGGTCTAAAGATCAAGGGGCAGGGAGGCAGACTGAGTTTTTTCTAGGTTGTCCCACTTTCCCTACTTGACCCTGCACAGGTCACTTCACCTCACCCCACCAGGTGAGGCTGTCCTCATTTAAGTCCAAAGAACAGAGACAGAGTCCCTCAGAACAATTGCTGCAGACTATTCTCAGTCATTCTGCTTCACTGTAGTATTTTTGACGGTCTTCCTTCATCCCTGTGTTTGAGTTATGAGGCATGGCTTTGGGACATTGCACAAATCAAGACACTTCTTCAGTTTGGTCATTCTCCCCTGTCCTTTCACACAAAACAGGGAAAGGGGTTTTCAGCATTTCCAGTGCAGCCTTTCACTCTGGAGTAGCTTTCTCAGAGTGTCCCTCTGAAGCTGAGCAGCATAAAGGCATGGTTAAACCCAGAGTTCTCTGTGACACTGACAGAAAACCAGGCCTATGCTTACGTTTGAGAAATACTGTCACAAAGTTAGAGCCACAGCTCTTCACTCAACCTCCTCATCTTTCCTGCACCTCAGCGGCCAGTTGCACCTGATTTCCATCTGCCTGTTCACCAGGTGAACCACTTCGCTGCATAATTACAGTGGTTTCTACTCCCTCCTACAGGTGCTTTGCTGCTTGACTGGCCATTGTCCCCTGTTGAAGGGCAGCAGGTAACATCCTCTGAGGCCAATCTCAGTGCCTTTTTGTGGAGCTGACAGAAGACACCCTAAGAATAGCCTTGGCTCTTCCTTTCAACCTGAAACAGATGTGGTGTGTTTTGAGTCAGTGAAGCCTCTGCCATCATACAGCCCCGGTCTCATATTGCATCTGGGGAGTTTAGAGGGAGGTATCTTCATCCTATAACTGAAAAGCCTGCTTACTCACTGACCAGCTGATTCTGCCTTTCCAAGATTCATCTCTGTTACTGCTCAGAGCCTAGGAGCAAATTTTCACCCTGGAAAGAGGTAGGCAGCACAGGTGCCTTCTCTTTAATGTGCTGTCTGAAAAGTAGGTCTTTCTACTGACCACAAAGGACAACAAACTGCTATTTGAGGACTGATTTAGGAGGTCCCTGGTAGCTCATTTGCTGAAGGCATAATACTATGAAATAGTATTTTATTGGCAGCTACCCGGGGACAAAGGAAAACCAGACTGACAGCTAAATCTATTAACAAAGCACTTGAAGTCCTTCTTCAAAACCAATGGAACAAACAGCAACCAAACAAAACCCAAGCTCTGCATCCACAGTCTTTGTTTTTTTCTGAGGATTTTCTCTTTAAGAACCAGAGCAAACCAGCTGGATCAAGGCGTCACTCAGAACAACTCAAAAGAGCTAGAAACAGCATCTTACCTTTTCATCTGTAGGCAAAATACCAAGAGGAGAGAACAAGTGCAAAGAGAATGCAAGGCAGGTGTCTCCAATCTCACTCACACAGACACAGGCCCTTTGATGGTGAACCTAACAGACACATTAGCTGCAGATTCTGGGTTTCAGCGGGAGCTAGAAAGCAGCTCAATGCTGCAGGGCAGTTAAACAGAAGGTCTTCTTCAAAGTGTAGAGGGCATTTATTTAAGCTGCCCAGCTGTCTTGTTGGCATCACACAGGATGAAAATGCAGCTAGAGCACATGGGTTGCCTCATCACTGCACTGGCTGAGAGGGCAGGCTAACGTGCTGTGTTACGGTGTCACTGGCAATCTTGCATTGGTAACACAGATAAATACCTCTACTGCACTGTTGTCGGGGCAGATCTCAGCTGTTTGCCAAATCAGAACAGTGCACAGGCAAGTTTTGGTACCTTGGGTTAATGCAACACCGCTGTGCTAGAGGCACAGAAGTTCCAGCTTTCTCTTAACCACTTGTTTCCATGCCCTGATCTATCTTTTACTTCAGAAACCTCTTCCTACCTCTTTGGTTTTTTTACCCTACAGAAGCCATAAAATTCACACTTCTGAAAGGCAGGTAGGTAACACAACAGCATCCCTAGTTCTCCTTGGTGCTCAGGTTCCTCAATGTCTGAACACCAAACCCCACCCTCTCCTCTGTCAGGACCACAGTCCACAGAAGATCTCCATGCTAGCCCTGGGCTTGTTGGTGTGGATGACAGCAGTGTGCTCATGCTGCTGATGCACCTTTTCTGCAAAGGGTGAAATTCTGCTCTGAGACCTATGAAAGACAGAAAGAAGTCTGGCCTTGTAAGATGCCTTTCCTAAACTGCTCTAAGACGAACACACACGTTACAAGTGCACAATCCATCCTCTTCTTAGGGTTTGTATATTAATAAAAGAAATTGCTGAAGTACTCACCAACTTAAGCTACTCCTGTAGTTCTTCACAACACCAAACCTACATCCTCCTTACTCCACCCAATGCCTTGCACTTCCTTTATATATCCTCAGGATTATAAGCCACCTGCCTCTTGAGGTAGCAAATCTGCCTACTAACGAGAAAATGTGGAAAGCAAAGATAAGGCCTCAGAGCTACCCAGGGTGCAAGCTCAGGGCTGATGAGTGCTGTCTCTCAGCCACTATTTCTGACCCATTTTGGGTTAGTAGTGTATGGTCACAATCCTGTAAGGGAAATTAGGGGATTTTTGCATCCTAGGTAACTTGAGGGCTGTCTCTTTCTCTGGACTCACTGATACAATTGCTATTATTCTGCTCTCTGCTTTTAATCCTGCAAAGCAGCCAGGGACTGAGTAGGTACAGAGAAACTCAGGCATGTTTTCCTCTATAAATACAGTTGTCACCTTGGATCTGAAATAGGCTCTGAAACTGCCCCTCCTGTATTGTTTTGTATTTGACAAAGCAGGAACATCAGATATAATCTACATTCATTCACATATCTCATTTAGAACATGATACCTGGCAGTCCTAACTTTAACTTTTCACCTATGTTCTTCATGTCACAGCCAAGAGGAACGAAACTGTTGAACCGAGAAATAGAGACTATCAAGATCCTTTATCACTCCAGACCACAACTAATGCAGTTTGTCTGCTGAAGGGTTGAACCAAGCTAGACCCAAGCATGTATGCTGGGCCAGATTTCTCTTTGGCTCTGATAAGCTCAGACTTTGGCAGGCGTGCATGAAGATTTCCTGGACTGCAGACAATCCCAAGATGCAGCAGTAGACAAAGTGTATATGCATCTACACGGGTGTTGTGTGTATGTGCATGTGTGGCAGGGATGACAGACAATAAACCCAGCTTCGTGTGCCAGGCTCCCTGTAAATAAGAAGCCATAGGGTGATGGATGGGCTTGGGAAGGCCTGGAGCAGAACGGACGGGGTAGGCTCTATGGTAGCTGACATGCAGAGAGCTGGCTGGAGCCAGGAGGATGGCATTGTGCAGATAAATGAGATTTCACTTCCCTGCTGGGTCTCTTTCCATCTGTTTTTCTGTATCTGGAGGCAAATGCTGGGAAGCTTCATAAACAATCTGCCAAGAGACCATCCCATTTCAAAGGGCGCTCTCCCAGCTTTCTAGGATCCCCCAAAGCAGACAGGTAATCTTATATGTATCCTTCTCTTTTCTTCCCTGAGGCAAATGTAATAACACTTTTCTTCTCTTCAACGTTTCTTGCCTACTCACTTTGTAAAGAATTTTTTTTTGCTGCTGACCCAGACATCCTTGGCATGACAGCGTCCCCTGCTCACACATCTCCAGTCCCTTTGGGTCCCTCTTCAGAGCTGCCCTCCTTTCTTAGGTTTCCTTTATCTATCATCACCTTTCCTCCCTACCTTGCCTTTCATATTTATCTGACGCCACAGTTTCCTTGTCCCTCGTGACTGTGGTGTGAGAGATTTCCCCTCTGCAGATGTTTAGGCTAGGCTACTTGAATCCTGCCACCACCCTTTGAAATACCTGCTTTCCTTTGCCTGTATGGTTTTCTCTCACTTCTTGCCATCACCAAACAGCACTCCATCGTACAAAGGCCCAAATTCACTAACACACTAATGGCCCTAGTGGCACAAGAGACAGGACATCGAGATTCAGGCTTGCAGAGGGTTGAGTAGTAGCTGTAGCTGCCCCTGTGCCTCCACCAAGCACCTTCCTGGGGCAACTCATATCCAGCAACCACTTGAAATGTGACTCCCTCAGCATTAGTTGAAGGGCTGGAACTGGGACTCTGCTTTTGCTGACCCACTGGCCCAGGCAATCCCTTCCCCTCACCAGTCAGCTCTGGCTGACAGACTGCACTCTGCCCTCCTAACCACCGAGGACAGAAGTGGCTTGTTCACATAGCACGACCCAGGAAATACTCTCTCCCAGAGCCCAGACTTGTAAGCTGGCAGTTTTGTACTAGGCAGTTAAGTCACCGCTAAGCTCCAGCACCCTGGCTCTGATGAACACCGGACACCTTGCAAAGCCTTCAAGTCAGCACATGCCTCTCCCCTTCAGGCACAGCCACGCTGGCCTTTCTCCTGTGCCCACCCTGACAGAGAGCTCCGCTGCTCTTGGCGTCAGTGCCCGAGCAGGGGGGGCGCAGCACCAACACCCCCCAGGGACAGAGCCGCCCAGCAAGTCACAGTATTGAAGGGGAAGAGGGGCACATGAATGAATATGCAGTACCCTCTGCTCTGCTTCCCTCTGGGACTTCACGGAGTGGCTGACACAGCCATCACAGGCGACCTGCTATCAGACTCTAACCAATAATGAGATTAAAATAGCAATGAGTCTGAGATTAGCATCCAAAATATAGTCGCTTGCTGTCAGCGCAGCAGAGAAGACTCTCCAGTTTAATGCACAATGCCTAGTGACAAATGAGACACAATCAATAGCAAAGGTCATTGCTCACCCAGCTGGAAAGCACCCGCCAGTGTGACAGGGAAGAATGGGGGCAGATTTGGCCCGATCTTCACCGGGGGCAGAAGCGGATGTGTCCCGACTGGCAGGGCAGTTAGGCTGTGCTTTCAACGTTTTTCCTTGCATGTCATTCTCACTTTGAACCAAAATGTGTAGGATTAATGCCTCCTTCTGCAAGGGAGAGGAGATGGGAATACAAAACCATTTCCATTAAGCCCTCTGGTTGACAGAAGACTTCAGGTGTGAATTGGATAAATGTCACTTAAATCCTACGTGATGAATTACTAGCTGTAATAAGCAATTAGCTGATGCCAAATTGATTTAATTCAAAAACGAGATCTCACTTTTATCATCAGAGGAATAGCAGAGCAGGGGTACTCAGGGGCTCGGTGCCTGGCTCTGCAAAAACACAATGCCTGGGTGGGAAAAGCCTCCTGCACCCCTCGGCCGCTTCCCGCAGCAGCTCTGGCTCAGAGCCGGGACGTACCCCTGGGGTGCGCGCGGGGCTCGGCGGGTACCTGCCAGCGGGCCGGCGCCTCTGTCCGAGCCCGCTTTGCTCTCAGGGAAGGGCAGAGCCATCTCGGGACGGAGCTTACAGTCGCCCCCGAGGTGGCCGGGACCCGCAGCAGGGTGGTGGGCAGAAGCCCCAACGCCCGCTCCGCACCCCCCTGCAAGGTGCCCGGCGCTGCACACCGCGCCGAGGGG